GAGGCCGAGGTCAGAGAGTGAACGGGGGGGGGGGGGGGTGAGGAGGTCCAGGAGGTCATGGAGCTACAGGGGGGGCAGTGGACTTTGGTGTCCCAGAAGGATGCAGTCTTGTAGACTTGCAGAGGCAGGCAGGTGACTGGACAGGAGGAGGAAAGCTGGCTGCTCCAGGCAGGTGGGGCGTCCTCAGAGAGTGGGCTCAGTGGAGCACAGGGTGGGAGGCTGGGGGTCCGTCTCTTGGGGGACAGTGAGGGGGACACCAATAATGACTGCTTGCTCCTTCCAGGACTGCTCCCCTCTGAAACTATATTGGAAGGGGGGGTCACTGAGCCTGAGAATAGCCTAGCATCTGTGGTCTGTAAATGACCCCTTCCTTGTCTGCTCCCTTCTCTGCACGAGGCCACTAAGGAAAGAAATAATTCAGCCAAGTGCATTGGACTGGCAGCCACATCTCCTTCGGCTCCTCCCGCGGAGAACCCAGGACCAGCCATGGGGGAACAGGTCGGGGAGGGGGTCCTCCCAGCTGGATGCCTCGTCTTCTCTGGGCTTTACTGCGGGGAGCCCCTCACCTTGACTATTGGGCACACACCCCAGGATTTCCTCACCTGCCAAATAAGAATAAGCTGAAAAGCGCCTTTGTGGACTGCAAACTGAACAGAGGGGACAGGCTGGCCATCAGGGGGGAGAGCCGCATCTTAGAGGCCGAGTGGACCTTGAGGGAAGGCTCTTGTGGAGGGAGACAGGACAGGGGAGACTTTTAGCAGTCACCACATGGGAAAGGGGGCAGGTGCAGAGGAGTCCTGTAGAGGGAGCCAGGGAACAGGTAGCCTGGGAAGGAGGCAGGAGGCTTCGGAACGCCCCATCTTGAAGCGGCAGCTGAGAGCGGGCAGCATGGTGGGGTTGGGGCCCGCACCTCTGGGCGAGGCAGGAAAAGAAATTCACGGACCCCGTGGGTGCATTTCAAGCTGGCTGGGTGTGTGGTCCTGGGGGCTGTGGGTCATTCGAGGAAGGGTCTTTGCCCATCTCAGGCGCGCCGCCTGCTCAGGGGGAGAAGGGGCAAGACTTGCTGAGTTCATTGGTTTTGTGTCTCCCACCAGAAAGGACCACCAAGGGCCCTTTAAGAAACAGCTAGAAAGCAAAGAGAAGGTGGAAGGGCAGCGGTGGTTGGCCCCCTAAAAGGCCCTACCAGAGCCACCGTGTCCCCCTGCAGACCCCACCAGCAAGACATTACTTGCAGCGGAATAGCAGCGACTTCTCACAGGCCGATGGCCTGCCACGTTGCTGGATTTCTCTCTCCGAGGTCACTCCCTGCCCAAACGAGAGGCTACTCTGCAGTTGAGGGTCCCAGAGTTCATGACAGTCTTTGCTACGCATCGGCTCCTGTGGTTTGCAGGCCTTTTTAAATTGCTTTATTAACACCGACTCGGTTTGGGACGTTTTTCTGGTAGCTTGTTTCCGAACCTGACACTGTGGCACACCACGGGAAACGACAGCACGCTAGCCTCGTTTGTGTCTACATGCCAGAAGCGACTCGTTTATTTATTTTTTTATTTAAGTGCAGACACAGAGAATGCAAAGATGGATGGCCCCAGGAGTGAGGAGAAATTTCAGTCTTGTTAGCTGACCATGCTGTCGCACCAGGTGAATTTGAAAGGCCGCCACTTTCAACACCAAACCTCTAAAATCTGCTGATACTCAGTCACTCGGTCGCTTAGCAAGAAGAACCATCACCAGATCAGCCCAGGCATGGGGCTTGGATGTGACTGGTCAACGCCCCTGAGACGGAGCTCTCACGTACTTGAGCAACAGGCTCCCTGATTGGATGCGACCCAGGAGGTACTCCTGGGAGAGTGGGGCAGGGAAAGGGGAGAAGCCAGGGGACTTCTCCCTGGGAGGCACGGGTGCCTGGTGTGGTTCCTTCAGGGTCCCAGCACCCACAGATTGGACCCCTGGGTGACCCTGGCCCTTTGGGAGCTGATGACTGACCCTTCAGTGCTGGGACTGCATGTGAGCTGGTACTGGGAGACCAGATGAACACAGCCGTGTGGCCTGCAGGACAGAAACTGACCAAGGCCAGCAGGTCCCTCCCACGGCCAGCCAGGCCAGGAACACTCCGATTCACACCCCCAGGAAGGAGCAGCCACACTGTTCTTGCTGCTTTTGAAGGACTTTCTCTATAATAGGTTTTATTGTTTGTTCTCATTACAAAATGAGTGGGCCTTACAGAAAAGCAAACAGGAGAGAGACATGTTGCTCCCAATTCAAACACCCCGAAATAGCTCCTGGATGTGGAGAAGCCCAAGTGTGTCACCCCCCATTTCGTCCCCAACAGGAGTATGCTGGGCCAGCTGCACACCCACCTGACACCGTGTCCCTGAACTAAGGCAAATCTTTACCATTTCTTTAAAACTAAAAGCCATAGGCCCTGCCTGGTGTGGCTCAGTGGGTTGAGCACCAGCCTGTGACCCAAAAAGCTTGCTGGTTCAATTCCCACTCAGGGCACATGCCTGGGTTGTGGGCTAGGTCCCCAGTTTGGGGGCGTGCCAGAGGCAGGCAACCGATCGATGTTTCTCTCACTCATTGGTGTTTCTCTCTTGCGCACCTTTCTCCTCTCTCTAAAAATAAAGAAAGAAAATAGTTTATTTTTTTTAAGATTTGCCTCTCAAGCGCCCCCTACTGGGGACCTGGCTTACAACCCAGTCACGTGCCCTGACAGAATTGAACCAGTGATCATTTGGTTCACAGGTCAGTGCTCAACCCACTGAGCCACACCAGCAGGGAAAATAAATAAATTCTTTTAAAAAGCAAAACTAAAAGCCATAGGATGATGATCCTCATAGGCTGCTGGAAGTCCCCCAGCTGAGATGCGTCAAGGACCCTGCCCAGTGTCTGGCACAGCAGAGGTCCAGGAAGCAGTGGCTGCTGCTTTCAGCTGACACACGAGGCACCCTGGAGCAGGAGCAACCCCCTGCCACGCTCTTAAACAACGGCAGCAAGTCAGGTCCAGCTGGGATAGACCCCGCCAGTCCCTCTTGCTGTGGGGCCCTGGAGTGGTCACTGCACCCCTCTGAGCCTGCTGTCTCCTCCGTAACAGAGGCATCCGACCCAGAGCGGGGACAGGGCTTGCTCCCGCTCCTCTCCAGAAGCAGGGCCCCTCAGACTGCCCGGCCAGTCAGGACCCCTGTGCCAGGAGGTCGGGCCTCTGTGGGGGCCTTCCAGGATGTTCCTGAATTTTCGACAAGTTCAGGAATAGCTCCTGCAGGGAGAAATCCCTAGCCAGGGAGGGGCCCCTGGAGGTCCTGCAACACCCGCTCCGCTCCCCAGCACCTTGCCCAGGGGGGTCCCTGATTGGCTGTGTGGCCTTTGACCAGTGGCTGGCCCTCTCTGGGCCTGATTCCGGCTGAGGGCGTCCAGACCCAGCCCTAGCCCAGCCCCACCTGGGGCCAGCTCTGCCTCTGCCTGGCTCAGCTCCAGACGGCAGAGCAGAGCTGTCACATGCCGAGCCACGTGACAGGCGGCGGCTGGGGGCTCCATCTCACACAGAGGACGGGGACCTCTAGAGCCCCTGACCCCTGTCCCAAGGGGCTGAAGCCTCCAGGGGTACCAGAGCAGGTTTGGGCCCGGAGACCTCCCGTGCCCTCCCAGGTAGGCCCGGGGGAGTAGGGAGGGGGCTGGTGAGGAGCTTCTCTCAGGGCCAGGTGGCCCGGGGTCCCAGGCCAGCATCCTAGGCAGACCCGTGGCGCCCAGGGGAAGGGGCAATAGGCCAGCGGTGGTGGCCCTGGGGTAGCAGGCATGGGCGACGGCACAGAAGATGCTCCTGCCCCCACACCTGTAACCCAATCACCTGCCTGTCTGACACCATCAGCTGCTTGGGAATCGCCCGCTTTGTGTTGCCTCCAACAGGTGTGACCGGGGTGGGGGCCAGGGCAAGGCAGAGACAGCCCCCTGGCACAGCCAGCTCGGGCACCTGAGGAGCACAGGCACTACCATGGGGACACATCGTCGTGACAGCTGCCCTAGGGGCAGAGGGCGGCGCTCTGCCCTGCAGGTGGGAGGGGCATCTGGGAACATAAGCAGCCCCTGCTCCCAGCAGCCAGCTTCCAGTGTGGGTCCCAGCGCTGCCGCTCGTGCCCTGTGTGGCCAAGTCCCGTCCTGTCTGGGACTCCGTTCCTCCTTGTAAGATGTCGGGGTGCAGGGGACAGGCTCGGTGAGTGGGTGCCAGGGGAGGTTGACCGACATGCACACGCAGGGAGCCTGGGCCCCGAGGCTGTGCTCCTGGACCCCAGCCATCTCCGGGTCTGCGTTCTACTTTGCGCAGATGGGAGACTAGGCTCAGGTGGGCTGGGCACGGGGTGAGGACTGGGCTGTCCTTGCTAGTTCAGGTGGCAGGGCCCCACCCCACACCATAATTCCCAGGGCCACAGCCTCTCCTTCTCCAGCTGGGCCTGGGTCTCCGTCACCAGGCCTCCGGGGGACCCCTCAGCTCAGAGCTCCCTGGACGCCTCTGTGTGGCCCCCACCGGCCACCAGCCTCTGGGCCTGGCCCCCTGTCTGTGGTGCAGGAGGGGACACAGAGGCTCCAAGGGCTCTGTAAAATCTCCTGGGCCCGAGAGACAAAGGAGAGGCTGACAACTGTAGCACAGCGTCATGAGTTTGTTAAGGGGACACGTATACAGGGTGTGCCTTGGGCAGTGGCGAGGCGTGAGGGTGCGTGGCAGGCACGGAGGAGTCACGTAGCACAGGCCAAGGTGGATGCGGGCACCGGGGCACGACCTGTCCCAGATGTGTGCTTGACCGGGGAAGGGCCTGGGCCTGGATGGGGGGGTGGTCTCTGAGGGATATTAAGGGGAACAGTGTCTGTTTGGTCCAGGTCTAGCTCTGGGGCCCTGCAGCACAGCCAAACACGCCATTGTACGGCCTCTCCCACACACTGCCCGAGGTGGCAGCGAATCTCAGCCTGGGCACCAGGCCAGGACAGCCCCGCCCCAGAGGCTGGCCCAGCCTGGGATGTTTCACAACAGCAGGGCAGGGCAGCCGGCGGAGCAGAGACACCAGGAGGAAGGGCAGCTTGGCAGAGCCTCAGGTACGGTGTCCTAGGGAGGCTGGGGGGACAGCAGCGAGCAAGCCAGGGACCTGGCTGCTGGGCTGGTTTGGGACTCCCGGCTGCTGGCTGCCTGGCCGGACAGGGCCACTCGGGCCACATACAGACTGGCCTTGTCCTCCCGGAGCTCATCCGCCTGCCTGGGGAGGAAGGGGAAGCGGGGAGGACTTCCCTTTGATGAGACCTAAGCGGTGGGAGAGGGAGGGGCCCAGGGGTCCCTGAGGCCAGGCTGACAGCTGGCACCCTCGTTTTTTCTTGGAGCTGGCCGACATCCTTCCTCTCCCTGGGGTTATATTGAGGGGGGACCCAGAAAAACCCGGAACTTATTTATTAAAAATTGTGTATTTATTCCTACATGTGTACACTTCAGTCACCTTCAAAATCCTCTCCATTCAACGCAACACACGTACCGAGACACTTTTCCCACTGCTCACAACAGTTTTTGAATTCATCAATGTTGATGCCTTTTAGTGCTTCTACTATTTTTTATTTCATCTCTTCCACATCAACAAAACATTTCCCTTTGAGGGCTTTTTTCATCTGGGGAAACAAGAAAAAGTCACTTGGAGCTATCAGGTGAAGAGGAGGGCGGGGCTTGGGGGCCAGGCTGTTTTTGGTCAAAAACTGCTGAATACTCAGCATGGTGTGGGCAGGTGTGCTCGTAAAGTACCCATCATGAAATGGGCAAACGCATTGAAAGAATCTTCAAAAAAAAATTTTTTTTTCACTGAAGCTGAATGCAGCCCCTCACAACAACACCAGCTGGCACACTGACCCAGATGGGTGCCTAAAACACTCACCTGGCAGGGGAGCCTGTACTGCAAGGGCCCACCCTCCAGAAAAGAATTCCGGGTTTTTTGTGTCCTCCCTAGTACATTCTAGAAGGGAGCCCAGGGTCCCAGCTCTGGACCACGTGGCCCCAGGAGGGAGAGTACCCCATGCCTGGGCAGGAGAGGGCAGAGGCCAAGCATCCGTGTGGCAGCACACATTTTCTGGGCATGGCCATGTGCCAGGGGCTGGGATGGGGGTCTGCAGTGAGTGACTCTGGCAGATCGTGTTCCTGGGCGTGGACACTGCCAGGGTCCCGGGAGGGGGCTCCAGCCAATGTGCGGGGGAGCTGACCGTCAGAGGGGCTTTGCAGGCATCAGGGAGTCTTGGGCAAGCCTTGGCACAGCCTCTCCAGAGGGTGGGGCTTAGGGTGGTCCCCAGCTGCCCAAGGCACCCATGAAAGGGACAGAGCAGCTGCCCAGAGCTTTAGGGCCCCTTGTGGATATCCAGGTTAGGGCCACAGAGGAGAGATCAGACTGGCGACGCTAGAGGATTGGACCCTCCCCGCAGGCAGGTTACCTCCATCTCTGGCAGCGGAGGGGGGTTCCCTGGGGCCCTCAAACCACCATGTTCACCCCTGTCACCTTCCCCAGCTCCTGCCCCCACCTTGGCTGATGTCCTCGCCTCCCTGGCACTCACCCTGGTCTCAGGTCTCCACAGGCTCCCACCCCAGGGTCTTCCCACCCCTCCCTGGGTGAGTGTCTCTCACGACGGGACACCATTGCTCAGAGACACCAGCACAGAGCGTGCAGGGCTCAGCTGCCTCCTGGCAGCAGCACTCGGGGGCTCCAGGTGCGGACCCCACTTCACGGGTGGGGAAGGTAAACCACAGAGAGGCCAAGCCACCGGCCCAAGCTCTCCTCACTGATAAATGGAGTTGCTAGTGTTCGAGCCCAGGTCCCATCCCACTGGGAAGGTGCTCTTAGAACGGTGGTTGAAGCTCCCGCCTCGCCTCCAGCGGGGGGTTGGAGTGTGGGGTGGGGGTGGAGTTCCCCTGAATTCCTGTAGATTCTGGTTTTTCAGTTTTCGGGCAGAGAAGCCAGGTGGCCTTGGGCAGGCTCCCTGCTCTCTGTCTCCTCCGGTGGGGACAACAGCAGCACCCTGTCCAGGCCACCCCGGTAGTGAAATGGGCGCCACAGGCACAGGTGACTGGAGCTGACTTTCTTCTTATGAACCTGGGCAGCCCAGACGTGCCCGGGGTGGGGAGGGAGGAGCTCAGGGCCCCAGCCCCGTTTGATGCAGGGACCCCCTCGTTTATGGGTCCTTTGTGAGGTCGCAGGCCCTAGATGACCCAGATCCCAGGTGAGAGGTGGCCTTGGCTCCTCTGCTGGCCTGAGCTGTGCCCAGCTCTCCGGTCCCCAGCAGGAAGCCCTCGGGGGGTTTCCATACAGAGTGACCAACCAGCAGGGGCAAAGGTTGGGTGAGTCTGCCTAAGCGTTGCCAGGAGAAAGCTCCTCCCCCACCCCCTTGCTCAGAGGCACGCCGTGCCTCACATTCTTGTGGGTTTGACAAGGACTCTGATGAAAGTAAAAAGAGCCCTGGGGAGGCAGGAGACGGGGCGAGGTGGGTGTGCCTGTGAGTGAGAGGGGGGGGGGGATGCAGACCGCAGGGCGCTGTGTGACGAGGCCTTGGCCCACGTTTCCTGGACACCACAAGCACAAACGCAAATGCTCTGTGTGGCATCGCGTCCTTTAATCCTCAGGACAACGGCAAGCACTCTGTCACCACCAGTCACAGACAAGGAAAGCGAGGCAGCGAGCAGGTGAGCGACTCACCCGAGCTCAGGTCAATAGGGGCAGAGCCGAGATGAGCCCAGATGGTGATGGGCTTCTTGCCCCTGGGTCTTGGTCCGGCCAGGGCTTCCCCCGCCCAGTAGAGGGGTCAAGCCTGGGGCCGAGAGGGACTCTGTAAATGTCACTCTTCTGCCACACTGCCACCCTCTCTAGGAAACATGGTGCCCACGGCCACTGCCCAGCGTCTCCCAACCAGAGCAGGAGGGCTGTGGGGTCAGTGTGGCCCCAGTCACACCAGGGGGACATCCCAGGGCTTCAGCTGGGCTCTCAGCACAGAGTGACGGCTGGGCCACGCCATTCTGTTGGCTGCAGCAGGCTCGGCTCTCAGGGCCATAGAACTTTCCAGAAAACCGAGGGCCGTGGTGACAGTAGCCACTTAACAAGAGCTGGGGGCTGTGGACACACTGAGGCCCAGCCCTGGGCTCAGAACCGTGCTCGTCCTTGGTGAGCACCGAGCCAGCTGGGGGTGCTGTCACTGTCCCCCAAAGGATGAGGAGGCTGGGGTACCCAGACCCCCATGATGAGGCAAGCAGACCATGAGGGTCTGCACCCCAGTCTGGTGGGAGGGGGGAGTGAGGGAGGGTCAAGGGAGGTGGGTGGGATAAAACGAGGTACTTACTGTGCCATGGCCCGGCGGGGTGGGGAGCAGAGCCCAGGGGCCACTGTGAGAGTGTGCGCGAGGGGGTAACCAGGGTGGGCTGCCTGCAGGAGGCATCAGGCAAGCTGAAAGGGAGGAAGTCAGAAAGGGCAGGAGGAAAGGGTCCCCACGGGTCCTTGGCCGCAGACGAAGGAGCGAATGTGTCAGAGTGCTCCTCTGTTGAGTTTCAAGTAAACAGGTAGGGGGCTGGGGGAATGTTGGGGCCCCCACCCCATCTGCGTACCCCGGCTGCTGACAGCGAGGAGGCAGGACCGCCCCTTTATCCCCATCCCCGCCGTCCCCTGCTCCTCCCTCCCAGGCCAGGGTGGGCAGCAGGACATCCGGGAGGCTGGAGTCTTTCCCTCCAGCTGGGGGGCCGGGGAGCCGGGGGAGGGGCCACTGCCCCTGTCACCCAGCCCTCTGGGCGGCCGCCAGGCTGGGGGTGGGGAGAAAGAGGATTTGGTATCTGGAACATCCCAACTGGTGGCCACGGTGGTGGTTGGTGGACTGTCCCCATCCTTATCAGACTCCCCCTCACTATTCCAGGCTTGGTGGGGTGCAGGCGCCCTATGTCTGGGTGGAACACCAGACAAGGTGGCGGCCGCGGCCCGGGGCTAATTTCTGTTTGGTTCCTGGCTACCTGCCCACCCTTAGGAGCTATGGAGTAGCTGTCCCCAAACCCACACCAGTGCTCAGGGTCCGGGGCTCTCCACCCGCTGGTTATGGGGGGCTGTCGGCTTGTGCTGTGTGCGTTTAGACTGGGCGAGGCCCGGCCCTCTGGGACTACGCGTGAGACCCAGGGAGGGAGCGTGTGAGCCTACATGGCGCAGGCAGGGCTGCAGCGGGTGCCCGAGAAGGTGGGGAGCCCTGGCCCACACTCCCACTGTCCCCGATGCAGGATGGACCCCTTCGAGGACACGCTGCGGCGGCTGCGGGAATCCTTCCGCACGGGGCGGACGCGGCCGGCGGAGTTCCGGGAGGCCCAGCTCAAGGGCCTGGGCCGCTTCCTGCAGGAGAACAAGCAGCTTCTGCAGGAGGCGCTGGTGCAGGACCTGCACAAGGTGCGGGGTGGCGGGAGGCGGGTGGGCAGGCTGGGACAGGGACGTGGGGACAGCTGCCTCCTCCCTGAAGTGGAACTGAAAATCCATCCCCCTCCACCCCTTCCCTGTGCCATAACCTACTCTACCGCATTCCTCCATTTCTTCATCCACTCAACTACTTGCTGAGCACCTACTAGGTGCCAAGTACTGTTCTGGGATTTGGGGATGCAACAGAGACTAAAACAAAATCCGGTGTGCAGCCAGCCGACCTTGACAAAACGTGACAGTAAATCAATAATCACGTGGTGTGTGGACGGTAGAAAGGGGCACGAGAGCGCCAGGGTCCAGGTGCCGCTTCACACTGCGGTCAGGGAAGGTTTCTCTGAGCAGAGACGTACGGAGGAGGGGAAGGAGCCACGTGGATCCCGAGGGAAGTGGCAAAGGCCCTGGGGCAGGAGGAGCTTGGTGTGCGAGCTTGAGGGGCAGCACGGAGGCCTGCACGGCTGGAAGGGCGGAGGCAGAGCTCCCCCGAAGATGAGCCTCGCAGACGGGAGGCCTTCGGCTGCTCCCAACCCCGGCGGCAGCCACGGGGAGGCCCCAATACGCACGCATTTTCACAGGTGGCTCTCCCTCCCCAGCTCACAGGGCCCGCCTGCTCAGCTACCCCTGGGGATCCCCTGGGCATGTTCCACAGGCCGGGGTTCCCAGACCCACTCCTTGCATCCCATTGGCCCCTTACCACCTGGCACCCCAGAGCCAGTGGCTCTTTGTCAGGGGGCCCTTGGCAAGGCACTGACCAGCTGCTTTGATCCTTTAACACCTGGGATGAGCCCGCAGTGCATGCTGGCTGCTGGCCAGCCCCCATCTGACAGCAGGGCCACATTGGTTTGTGCTGAGCTTGTCTGAGTCCTAAACCTCGAGTATGTCCCCAGCAGGGCCTGGGGCCTCCCGAGGTCCCACATGAGACCCTGCATTGACCTCTGGGGTCCACCCCTTGCTGCTTGCTGTTTACACCCTCAAGGGTCAGCCAGCCCACATGCGCCCCGCCCCCCCCCCCCCACTTTTCCAGGGGGCCAGCAGGCTCCACTGAGGTCATTGGCAGGGCCAGGGTCCCTCGGCAGCCTCCTTAGGACCTACCCTATTCACAGCAGCCAGCCAGGCGCCCGCCCTGTCCCTGCGGTACTCACAGATTTGGAGCCTAGTAGGGTCCAGAGTCACGAGTGGGGTGCGTCCCCATTCCACAGGGATAGCAGAGGCTGGCCACAAAGCCTTGTCCTGAGGATAGGGCCTTCTGGTAACCCCTGCTCCTTTTCTCTGTGTCCCCAAACCTTCTCTTTACCTCTGCTGCAGCCAGGCGACACCGGGGCCCCTCGTCGGCCTTTTCTGGAATCATCCACTGCCCCATTTATGAAACCAGGGCTCCCGACCAAATTCTCCTCTGCTCTCCGCAACCCCAGGGGCAGGCTTTGCCTCCCTGTGGGGAGTGTCCCGCTCACTGGGCCTGGTCGGGGGACAGGAACCCCTGCAGCGCCTCTGCCACCATCCGCCTGCTGGCCCAGCTGCCCTTCCCCCGGACACCTGCGCCAACTGCCTATCTGGTCCCTTTCCTCCCTCTGGCTCAGGTTTCCTTCCCAGCTCCTCACGGCTCCAGGAGCCGGGCCCCACAAAGGGTGCAGCAGCCCAGAAAAGCCACCCGGGTTCCTCCCTTCAACTTGTGAGCTCTGTCCCCATCCTTTCCAGTGTGTGGCACATGCCTGCCCTGTTCTGCAGGAACCCTCCCTCTCCTTGAAACCCAGCAGGGCTCCAGGGAGGGTAGTCAGCCCTGCAGGAAGCTCAGAGAGGGCACACGGCCCGACTCAAAGCAGCCTGCTCTTCCCGAATCCCAGAGTTCGGCGGGGTGTAGACTGTACCTTAAACCAGCCCATAGGCGACCTGCCGGGTACGGTGGTCAGGCCCCGCAGCTCGGGGGGCAGAGGCGTGGGCTGCGCACACAAGTGTCAGAAAGCACGCTTAACCAGGCTTCACTTCCCAGCAGCGAGGGCGGGTGTGGCTTCTTGCCCCCCAAGGTCCCAGTGCCCTTCTCCTCGGGGCTTGGCTGTGGCCCTGGCCTTGCACTGGCTTGCTGAGTGACCCTGAACAGAGCATCCCCATCTCTGGGCTTTGGTTCACCCTCAAAACCCCCCTGGCACCCCTTGGACTGTTGCCCTGCCCTCTAGCAGGGGAGAGCTTGTGACAGCCAAGTCTCAGGCTTCAGGACAGCTGGGCTCTGGTGTCCCTGACCATGGGCCTCACGCTGCCTGAGGCCTATGGGCTGGGTCTCTCCTCCCTGGTAGGGGTGGGACAGGCACTTGGAGACAGGGATCGGGACAACGTCCCGAGGACAGCCGCCTCCTCCCTCCTGCCCTGGAAACCTGACAGTGATGCCTGGCCCCCGGGTGGTGGGAACTGACGGCACTTACCTCAGGATGCCTGTCCCCAGTGTCCCTCGCAGACTGATATCCACAGAGCAGGCCACAGTGGGGGACACAGACAACCCTGTTAAAACCTAAGTTTGCTCCTGTCCCTACTCTGACATCCTCAGCCCGGCTGCCCGGCCCCATCGCCTCGGCCACCCTACTCCTGGCCAGTCAGGGACACAGCGAGCCTGGGCCCGCCTCAGGGCCTTTGCACATGCTCTGCCCTCTGCCTAGAACGTTCTGCCTCCGGATGTTCCTGGGCTCCCTTTCTTTACTGCTCAGTTGCAGCCTCATCCCAGAGGCCGGTGCTGGCCCTCGTGCAGAAAATGGAGCAAACACACATACATACACGCACTCGACTCGAATACACAGCACTCACTCAAGCATTTGCACACACACACACTCCAGCACTCTTTCCATTGCATTGTCTCCTCCCAGTGTAGTAGACAGTGTCCCCGTGACCACATTGACTGTCCATGGGACAGGCTTTCTCTCTGTTCCGGCCACTGCTGCATCCCTGGCTCGAGAACAGCACCTGTGCACTGTACGCGCTCGTTGAACGTGGACGGGTTGGGTGAATGGGAGAGTAAGAGCAGGCCTCGCCTGGAGGAGGCTGTGCCCTGTCCGGGACTCCAGCCACCCGCTGACCCTGGTCCCGGGGCCATGCCCTGTCCCCGCCCCTCCCCTGCAGGGGACCTTTGAGTCAGAATTGTCCGAGTTCAGCATCAGCCAGGCGGAGATCAACTTGGCGCTCAGGAACCTGCAGGCCTGGATGAAGGACGAGAATGCAGCCAAGAACCTGGTGAGAGGGCCTGGGGTGGGTCAGGCAGGTGGGCTTCAGGGTGGGGGTTTCCCCACTGGACATCCTTTGGGGTGGAGGGTGGTGCCGAGGGGCTCACCACTAACCATGCTGCACCCCCTTTCTGCACAGGCCACACAGCTGGACTCTGCCTTCATCCACAAGGAGCCCTTCGGCCTGGTGCTCATCATCGCCCCCTGGAACTACCCTGTGAACTTGATCCTGGTGCCCTTGGTGGGAGCCCTCGCTGCAGGTAAGAGCCAAACCTCCACCTTCCGCCTGTCCTCTCCCGTGTGCGCACGAGCCATCAGAGCCCGGGAGGAGTGGGCTGCTGGCCTCAGGTGGCTGAGGAAGTTGGGCTCACATCTGGCTCACCATCCCCAGGCTGTGTGACCTTGGGGAGACTTCATGTCACCTCTCTGAGCCAGATTCTTCACCTGAAGGTAGAGTGAGGCCAGCACCTGCGCTGCAGGTGTGAGAGGTGAATGGAGGCCGGGAGTGGCCACCCCGCCCCAAGCCCTAGCCCTGACCTGCTCTGCCTGCCCTGCAGGGAACTGCGTCGTGCTGAAGCCCTCTGAGATCAGCCAGAACACCGGGAAGGTCCTGGTGGAGGTGCTGCCCCGGTACCTGGACCAGGTAGGCAGATGCAGGTGGGCCCCCAGGACTGGGTGGGACCCGAGTCCTAACCTCACCCCTGCCTCCCGTGGGTGGCATGGCCACGGCCACGTCGCCGCCCCTGCCCAGACTTCATTTCCCTCCTAGTAAAACAGATGGGTGGGGCCACAGCCCTGCCTGAGGAGCCTGTCTCCTGGGGTCTCTCTCTGTCTTCTGGTGGGCCCTGCTCCTCCAGCCTTGGCCTCGACCCTCCCACCAACCCTGCCAGACCTTAACCCCTGCGCCCCACTTCACCCCCACCCAGACCACCCAGAGCCGTGGCAGCCCGGAGTAGGCCAGTCTGGGGGGAGCCGTCCCTGGCAGGCAGGCAGGCCTCCCGCGGGGCTCCCCACGCCGGGATCCCTGGCAGAGCCCCCTGTCCCTCCGTGCAGAGCTGCTTTGCCGTGGTGCCGGGCGGGCCCGAGGAGACGGGGCAGCTGCTGGAGCACAAGTTCGACTACATCTTCTTCACAGGCAAGGGGCCCGCTGCGTGTGGGGGTGGGCGGTGTGCAGGGTGGGAGTGTGTCCCAAGTCCTCACAGACACGGAGATGTCCACAGGGGCAGGAGCAGCCAGGACCACGGGAGGGAGCAGGAGTTGCCAAGGGCAGAGAAGTAACTGGGTTTTCAGCTCCTGGACAGAGGGAGCCGGGGGGAAAGGCCAGGGTTACCCGCACAGACCCCAGGCCAGGTGAGGGCAGGGGTCTCCAGGTCTCAGGGTAGGGGGGCTTTAGGTCAGGGGAGGCTGCGCAGAGGAGTGAACTGTGAAATCCAGATGCACCCAGAGGGGAGGTGGGGACAAGCCGGGCAGCGGAGGTGGCGGGGTGGCAGGGGCAGGGCTGCCAGGAGAGGTCGGAGAGGAGACCCAAACGTCTGAGCCTCAGCCTCAGGTGACGGGGTCGCTGAAGGTTCTAGAGAAGCGGGACAGGTGGCGAGAGGCTCTGGGCAGCATAAGTCGCCCGCAGGGGCAGCCGGGCACCAGAGGCAGGAAGTGGGCAGCCGGTCCTGCTGCAGGTCCTGCTGGTGCAGGTCCTGGCAAGGGAGGGCCTGGCGAGGCCCCGCCCCCGACTCAGCCCCCAGTCATGAGACAGGAAGTGAACCCCCCTAAAGGGGTCCCAGGCCAAGGCCACCCCACCTGGCCCAGGTGAATGAAATCACTCTGGTTTTCCCCTCATCCCCAGGGAGCCCTCGGGTGGGCAAGATCGTCATGGCTGCGGCCGCCAAGCACCTGACGCCCATCACGCTGGAGCTGGGGGGCAAGAACCCCTGCTACGTGGATGATGACTGCGACCCCCAGACCGTGGCCAACCGCGTGGCCTTCTTCCGCTACTTCAACTGTGGCCAGACCTGCGTGGCCCCCGACTACGTCCTCTGCAGCCCCGAAATGCAGGAGCGGCTGGTGCCCGCCCTGCAGAGCGCCATCACCCGGTTCTATGGCGAGGACCCCAGGAGCTCCCCGGACCTGGGCCGCATCATCAGTGACAAGCATTTCCAGAGGCTCCAGGGCCTGCTGGGCTGTGGCCGTGTGGCCATCGGGGGCCAGAGTGACGGAAGTGACCGCTACATCGGTGAGTCCCGCTCTCCTGGCCACGGGACCCCCTGGCTAAGGCCCTTCCACACTGGAGGCCACAGCTGGGCCCAGATGGGCCCTGAGGTTCCCATGGCCCCACTGCTGGAGTCCAGCTGGGACCATGGCCCTGGTGCCACAATTCCATAGCACTGATGCCACGGGTCACCGTGGTCCGAGCCTGTGACCCCATGACTCCAAGGCCGGGCTTCCCTGAGCTGGGCCCCAGCATCCCAGAGCGCCCCAGTGCTCAGACTCCCAGCTTCCCTCCCGCCATCCACTGCTCCACGGTGTGACCCAGGTCCCGTGGGCCCACAATTCCTGTCCCCAGCACCTGCCAGGCTGCTGTTACAAAGCAGCTCCAGGCCTCTGGGCCACACATCTCTGTGTAAAGTGACACTGTCACTCCAACAGGCTGGGACCCGGGACCTTGGGCTCCAGGGGTCTGAGGTCCAGTCACCCCCGTGACTGTAAGACCAAGGCTGGGGGTCCTCTGGGCCCTGGTTCCCGGTCAGCCGTGGGGAGACTCTTCCCTAGAACCTCGCTACGCCTGGAGCCCCGGGTCTGGGGCTGAGCCATGCCCTGTGCCCAGCAGCCCCCACGGTGCTGGTGGACGTGCAGGAGACGGAGCCGGTGATGCAGGAGGAGATCTTCGGGCCCATCCTGCCCATTGTGAACGTGAGGAGCCTGGCCGAGGCCATCGACTTCATCAACCACCGGGAGAAGCCCCTGGCCCTGTACGCCTTCTCCAACAGCCAACAGGTGGGGCTCGGGCAGGCCTGCGCAGAGGCTGGACAGAGGTGGGGCCAGGTGCTGGCCGTGAACCAAGGGACTGGCCCCTCTGGGCTGCCCCGGGAGATCCTGGATGGCGGCAATTCTTGGCTCTGCCTCTGTCATCTCTCCTGGGAGCAGCCACCACCCTCCCCTGTGCTCCTGGCCACCCTTGCCTGGGTGCTCAGCAGGCAGCTCCTGGGACCTTCTCTAGCATCTAGCATCTGCCCTGTCTCCGTCTCAGCCTGTTGGCTGCAGTGCCCCCTTTCAGTGTCTGGCTCACGGAAGGTACGCACGTGGGGTGGGACAGGGAGGGTGGGTGACCAGAACCCTCAGCCAGGCACGAGCCCTGACCCCACCCCTGGCCCCTTGCCTCCAGCCCCCTTCTCTGCTCCACTCCCTAGGGGCAGCCTGGAGCCTCAAGGGCAGGTGTCCCCAGTTCAGGACATACCTCCTTGCCTCACCCAGCTCTCATGAGCTCCCTCCCAGACCACACAATATTTTTTGAAACAAACTCTTTATTTTGGGAGAACAAGATTTACAGAAGTACCAGAGGCAGCTCAGGGACCGCAGACACCACACCCCGTCCCCGTAGTCAAGGGCCCACACGCCAGTCAGAACTGGGACGCGGACACTGGCGTATCACTGGTAACTGTGCTCTAGACTCAGTTCCGATTTCGCCAGTTCTTCCTGCCCCAGGGGCCTGGCCAGGGTCCCGCAGCAGCATTTAGCTGTCACGGCTGCTCTGGGCCCAGACTGACTGGGGAGCTTCTGGGTCCAAGACCTGCCTGTCCGGTTTTTCATCCCTCCCTTCTCTCTCTGGGTCTACAAGATGCCTTCGGCTCCTGCTGCATTTTCTGCACCCAGCCCTTCCTCCAGGAGCCCTGGTTTATCTGGATTACGTTCGCTTTAGAAAGTGCAACACAGGGATTTTGGAACGGGAGTCACCTGGCATAATGGCTGCTCTCACTGCCCAGCCCTGGTCCCTGGAGAGAGTGACACCTAAGACTTGTCTCAGCCCAGGTGACTTGTTCTTGGGTCCCTGGAAGCACTGGTGCTCCCGCTCCATCTGCTGTGGCTGTGAGTGCTGGTTGCAAGTGACCTCTGAGCCCACAGCTGGGGCACCACTCGGCCCACCATCAGATAAGCCTTGACCCGAGGGCCATCAGAGGGTCATGCGTTGTAACTAAATATAATGACAACTTAATGTCAGTTCATTCTTTTCATTCTTCAAGTAAACCTATGGATAGAAGAGAAAAGGTCTTCACAAAGTCAAGCAAAGGCCAAGTCCATGTTTCTAAAGCACCGATCTGACCAGGGGATCACATCCAACCTCCCTGTGCCGCACATCACACAGCCCCGCCCCAACCCTGCTTCCCTGTCCCTCGGCCACCCCACCTGCCCTGCACTCTGCCTGGGGGCCCCTCCCATCTCTGCCTGAATGACCCCTGGCCCCTTTAGACTCAGCAGACACATCACACCCCTCTCCCGGGACACCTCCCCTGCAGGCTTCATGTCCCCAGGCAAACGCCGCCTTTCCACCTTCCCTTCAGGCCACAGTCTGTCCCCAGCACCCTGCGCACGAGAGCAGATGCTCAGGAATGTGTCCTGACCTGAAGCTGGTGGCAGGCCGCTATTCAGTGCCCTCTACGAGTCCCACCACCCCCTTCAGCTCACATGGGTGGGCTCAGCCCCTCCCCGGGGCCAGCAGGCTGGCTTCCTGCTGCCCAGCCACTCAGCTGCTTCTTCCCAGGTGGTCAAGCAGGTGCTGCACCAGACCAGCAGTGGGGGCTTCTGCGGGAATGACGGCTTCATGCACCTGACCCTCGCCAGCCTGCCATTTGGAGGAGTGGGTAGGTGCCAGCAGAGCCTGCGATGGCATTGCAGCCACTACATTCTGCTCCCCTCTGAAGTCTGGACAGAATCTTCCAGACCTGCCTCTGCGTTGACATGTGGGTGGAGTCTGTCTGGGAGTTGAATCCGAGTGTCCTACTCCCAGTGAAACCCCCCAGAGCTCCCATGAGGCCATGATCAGGCTGGGCCCCTGCCTTGCAGCTCCTGGAGGCCAGCACTTCTTGATCTGGCCTCCCCTCCCAGCATCCCTGTCTGCCACCCCAGCCACACTGAGCTCTACCAGGTCCTAACAAGCCATGGGTCAGGCACCTTCAAGGATCTCTGAGTTTTGTCTAAGTCTGGGTCCCTCTTGTCCAGACCCGCCTCTTCATCTGGTCAAATCCACATCCCTCAGGGCTTACTCCAGGAAGCCCTCCCTGATTACCTGCAACTCCACCAGGCTGGATCCCCGCCCCCAGACTCCTCAGTGCAGAAGCTGCCTCGTCCTTGACCACCTTCCAACGTAGATGCTGAGGATTTGCAACACAGCACTTACTGTGTCCATGGGTCTCAACACTCACCCAGCCCCCACAACTCTAGGAGGGAGGGGCCATTCTCACCCTATGGCATGGGGGACACCAAAGCAAAGTCACCTGCCCAAGGTGACACAGCTAGTTTAGAGCTGAGATGCAATCCCATGCAGTCCCTCTAGAATCCACATTCTTGACCAGTCTACCTGTCTTGCTTTAACACCTCACATGGTACCTGGTATCCCCAAGGTTTATTGAGCTGCTACCAGGCTCAGGGCTAAGTCCCTTACCCAGTCTGTCAGGATGAGACAGCCCACTTTACAGACTGGGAAACCGAGGCTCGGAGGGATGAAGTAGGTCGCACTGTGTGACTGACAGAACCCACATCTGTCTGATGTCTCCTCAGCTGGCCAATGAGGGCCTGACTACCGTGTTCTCTGCCACTGCAGGTGCCAGCGGCATGGGCAGCTACCATGGCAAGTTCTCCTTCGACACTTTCTCCCACCACCGCGCCTGCCTGCTGCGCCACCCTGGGATGGAGAAGATTTACTCCATCCGCTACCCACCCTACTCAATGCGCAACCTGAGGATGCTGCTGGCGGCCATGGAGACCCGCAGCTGCACCCTGCTCTGAGCCCGCCTCCAGCACCAGGCATCAAGAGTCCCTTCCAGCTCACGTCCGAGTCCTACGCTGTCACTTGTGGCTGGTGGAGACTCAACCTAGGGTCCTGGGCACAAGAAGGAAAGACGTGCAAGGCCATGACCCAGCCCAGTGCTTGTCCTTCTCATTCTCGGGTGTCCCTCTTCCGGCCTGCAGCTGTCCTCTAACTAGGATGGGCTAAGGTAAAGGAGTGTGCAAAACCTCCACGAGCCACCTGTTCTGGGCAGACGTGGGCACCTCTGCACCACCCCCTTCCTGTGGAAAGGGCAGCAGAAGGGGCCGACATCGGGTCCAGGCCACATGGTGGACCTGTTGTGACCCAGGCTGTCCCTGTCCTGAGCTGTTCCCGTCTCCGCAGTGGAGATGACTAACCTGCATCTCTGAGATGGTTGTGAGATCAAGTTTAGGAGCTTAATAAACATGAGTCGCTGACCCCAAGCTCCAGACATCCTGTCTCCTCCTTTGAGTGGGGTGAGGCTGTTTCCCTCCTCTCTCCCTGCCTCTTTGCAGGTCAGGTTGAGATGCCTGCAGCAGGATCTCCCTTCCCTTCAGCTTAGGTTTCTTGGGAGCTCTGAACACACTCCTGTCCCCCAGGTGGCCAGCCCTGGGCGCTTTACCCACATCATGTCCCACACCAGACTCATCCTATTCCCTGTCCTGCTCATCCTCCGGGACGCTGATGCCATGGAACTCAGCTTTCCTTCATACGCTCAGTCACAAAGCCCCACTCACCAGCCTCCTGCTCAACGCCACCTTTCATCTCCCTAGTGTCACCTCTCAGTAATCCCAATGATTCCATGGCACCACACAACCTGCCCTGATCCACACGTTAAGTTAACCCTCCGTTCAGAGCCATCCATAATTCGCCCTCTCCCAAGGCTAGGCACCGACCCTCCCACAGCTTCCCGGACTGTGCCACCTCTTGGCCTGAAACCCTGCAGCGGCTCCCCACCGCCCACACATCAGGACCCGTAACGGTCCTTGGGAAGTTCTGCCACGGCCCTGTGCCCACACACTTGGCTTGTTCTTGTCCTCCTCTAATGCATGTGACGTGTCCTTTTCGGGAAGGTCTCCGCATGCAGAGGATCTCTGCTATTGTCCTGCTCAACTCCTTCCCGCATTCTGCTTCAACATCACCTCCTCCGAAGCCTTCCCTGACCACTTCCCATTCCAGTCGCCCCCCCACCCCCGCACGTACACACGTGCAGGAGGCCTGACGGGACTTCTCTATGTATGTCTGCAGCCTCCGGTGTCCCCCTGCCACGCAGTTCACTGAGAGGATCACAGATTTGGTGGCTGATGAGGGCCGGGGCTCCCGAGTTATAAAGATCCAGGTGCGGCTCAGGCAAAGTTAACTAAACAAGGCCGTGTCTCAGCTTCCTCACCGGTAAAAACCAGAATAATCTGTCCTCCACGCAGGGCTGCTGTGAGGATTAAATGAAGCCACCTGCGTGGAGGGTTAGCGTGAAAAAGGCACGGCTCCGGCACAGAATAAATGCCTGGGGAGATTCTCAACTCGAGCACAAACGCCGCGAGGAGGCCGCCCCGGAACCACTTCCGAAACCACGCCCCGGGTGTCCCGCCTCTGTGTCGCGGAGCCCTTGTTTATAGGCCTCTCCAATCCAAGGTGAGGGCGCTCTACACAACTTCAAACGCCTGCTCTTCCCTAACCAATCGGAGATGCAGAAAGACGTTTCAACCCCTTCTTTAGTTGGCATGAGCCAATCAGTTTACACCATGAAGAGTCGACGCGGTCAAAGCGAAACCGCCAGGACCAATCGCAGCGTCCCAAGCGATAGGCTCCGCCTCCTGGCGGACACGCAGCTCCGCTGTGGAAGGAGCCCCGACCGTTCAAGGTGGGTGTTCCGCGCTCGGCTGCTGAGGCAGGGCCTGGGCAGCGCGGCTTCGGGAGCGAGTATGGTGTCCCTGTTGGTCGTGCTGGCCCTGCGCCCGCGCCTCATCTCTGCCCGCTCAGGACCCGTGCTCCCGGTGTCCTTGAGCGTGCTGCGGACGGACGGGGACACCGGCATCCTCAAGGCGCCTGCGCTGCCTGAGCCCTTGAGGTCAGAGGTCATGGGGAAGGTCGTGGAAGGAGCTGCTTTGGGCCCCTGGCACTGAAGTCAGTGGTCAGAAGAAATAGACCTTTTAGAGGTCACAGGTCACGGGAGGGGCACTCTGGAACTTCGGGTAAATGCGCGTCTCCGGGCTAACCCCTTGACATGTAGGAATGCCCTTCGTTCTCATGACTCCCCATTCCGTAGATGAGAAAACAGGTCAGGCGTCCTCACCTGCCCAAGGTAAACAAGCAGCCTGAGAGAGTTCCAGAATGGCCTCGATGCCGGGGAAAGGAATTCGATCTTGAGGGTTATTTAAGCTGTAGAAGGTTTCCAGCAGGGGAGGCCTGGAAGTTCTGGTCCCAGCCTCCTAGCATGTGACTTTGGACAAGTTCCTCTATACAAACAAGCTTTAGCTTCTCCCCTGTGCCTCTCTCACGGCGTCCTCCTTAGGACAAAATGACAGTGCATGTGGCCCCTAGCACAGTGCCTTGGTGCAGTGTGCTCACAGTCCAGACTGGTGGCCGCTGCAGTGTGCTTTGGGTCCGATTTGGGAGGACGAACAGGAAGGAGACATGGGAGGCAGGAGCACTGGTGGGGGAGGGAGGGGGCATAGATGTTAAAGATTTCTTAAAGGGATATAGATAGAACTTGGGGTGTATTGCAAGCTGGGTCAAGTCGGGTTGGAGGGCTGGGAGGTACCACCCCTGGGGACAGGAAGGCCATTTGTGCCTCTGGCAGGAATGGGGTTAAGTAGGACACAAGATGACACAGTAGCCCTGAAGTTAAGGGTCAGGGCTCCTTCAGAGCCAGAGTTCCTAGGGGGCCAGGTCTGGGACCCACCACACCTCCCTCCCTTTTTATGCCCACAGATGCGCTGCCTGCCTACACCGGCACTGCTTCGGGCTCTGGCCCAGGCGGTACGTGCAGGTAGGACCAAGGGAACCTTCCCTGGGTGCGGGGACCCAGTGTCCCGGCCTGAGGTCACAGCTGCACAGCGTAACCTCTTTCCTTGCAGGGCGTCCTGGTGCCCGGAGCCTGCACAGCAGCGCAGCAGTGGCCACCTACAGTGAGTCCCTGGGTGTCCGGAGCCTCGGGCTTTCCTGATCACGGTCTTGCCAGTGGCCAGGGTCTTCCCCCTCTCCGTGCCTCATTTTCCACTCTATAAAATGAGGATGACGATCAAAATTGAATTGATTCATGGAGGGGAACAAGAGTCTGCTGTCTCGGGGGTGGGGCCTCCCCTGTGGCTACACAGTGTACTCACAGAGCTCCCTCGTGTGCGGAGGCGGGCCCGGGGTGCCCGAGCCCATCCCCAGGGCCCCACACCCAAGTCCCCTTCCATACCCCTCAACCCCTGGGCTCAGACAGCCACAGGGGCACAGGGAGAAGTGAGTGAGGACTGCTCAGGGCCAGAGGCCCAGTTTGGGAAGGTCTGTTGAATGAACAACCCCCTGGGTTAGGCTCCTAGCCATTGCACCTGCCCACAGGGTAGGGCCTCATCTCCCTGAGCTGCATTCCTGGGGGAAGGTAAGACTGTGAGACCCCCTGCCCCAGCTTTCCTGCTTGCCTCCCCTGCAGAGTATGTGAACTTGCAAGAGCCCTCGATGGACATGAAGTCGGTGACTGACCGGGCGGCTCAAACCCTGATGTGGACTGAGCTCATTCGAGGTGGGCCTTTTGGGAAGGGTCAGATGGACTGAGGGGGGGTGCACTGATGGTCAAGGGTGAGAGGCCCCAGCCACCATGCTCACACTGCCCACAGGACTGGGCATGACCCTGAGCTACCTGTTCCGGGAGCCAGCCACCATAAACTACCCATTTGAGAAGGGCCCACTGAGCCCACGCTTCCGTGGGGAACACGCGCTGCGCCGTTACCCGTCCGGAGAGGAGCGCTGCATCGCCTGCAAGCTTTGTGAGGCTGTCTGCCCCGCCCAGGTGAGCCCCTGGCCCTGACAGACCGCCACCCGGCCCCTGCCACCGGGAGAAGGAGCGTGAATCCTGTTGCCCAGAGGGAAGCAGGGCAGCTTTGGGCCCGCACTCTGGCCCCGAGCTGGGTGCGAGTCTCCAGGAAATTCCCATTCCTTCCTGGAGCCAATTCCCCCTGTTGCTGGGACCAGCTCACAGTCAGTGAGTCATTGGGGTCAGCTGTTGACTCTCAGCAGACCGAGTGACAGAAGCAGGTCCTGCCCCTGAGGGTCTGCTCAGGGATGTGTCACACAGGCCTGTGAGCCACAGGGTGGCACCTGAGGGTCTCCCTTTTTTGCCACGTGTAGCAGCAGTTTCAGGAGCTCTGCCTGTGCGCCTGTCAGGGGGCCAGACCCAAGCACACGCACCGCAGCCGAGGCCCTCACCGTCCCCAGTCACTCTCCCGTGAGTTTGCCTCTGTCGGAGGCTCCCTCACGGGCTACCCGAGGTTGGGGCTGGTCCTTGTGGAGACACAGACATAGCTGTGGTGAGCAGACCCGGGTGTGCCCGGCAGGGGCCCAAGCAGGCAGTGAACCCCTGTCCCTCTGCCTGTGGCTGCTCCAGGGCCACGGCTTCATGACTCAGGATGGTGCCTTTCTGAGTCCTAGCTCGCCTCCTGGACCATTCCCAGGCCGCAGTCCGGGGCCTTGATGTCTCCAGCCGGCCTCCAACCTGGAGCGCTGAGGACAGCCCCCAGCAGGGATAACAGTGACAGTGCCCAGGCGGCGAGGGCCGTCCAGGGACCAGGCTCATGGCTCATTGGCTACAACTCTGGGAAGTAGAGATTGTCACCCCCATTTTTATAGATGAGGGAACTGAGGCACAGAGATGAGGCTCCCCCCGAGACCCTACTGTGAGCAGTAGGCCTGTGAGGGCCTTTGTTGCAGTGCTTTGAGGGTCCTCCCAGCTGTGGGAGGCCGCAGGCCACCGGTTTCCCCAGCCGGCACAAGGCCGCACCCAGAAACTTGGAGTTGAGGACCGGCTGCCTTCAAGTCTGCTGCGCTCTGCCCCTCGCTTACTGCGTGGCTTTGGGAAGCCCCTTGGCTTTCTGAGCCCGTTCTCTGGTCCATCGAATGGGGAAAACAAGACGTAAGTGGGAGGGTGTGTGGCACGAACACCTCCTCCAGGCCGGGCCTCCCTAGGGCTCCAGGCGCTGCCGCAGACAAAGCAGGTGGCAGCCTGTGGGACGTGCGTTCTCGAGATGACATGTGCACGGGGAAAATGTCACCTAGGGGAAAGGCTAAGAGGCTGGTGAGACAGACGTGACGGGCAGCCTGTTGGGAGAGGAGTCCGAAAGGCTGGAGCTGGGTCAAAAGTCGTGACGGGGTCTGCTCTGTGTCGCCCCGGGGATGATCCCCCAGAGCGGGTGGGCATGCGCAGACTTGGGGGTGGGATGAGCCATGAGGGCTGAGCTGGCACCCCGTGCCACTCGCCAGGCCATCACCATTGAGGCTGAGCCGAGGGCCGATGGCAGCCGCCGGACCACCCGCTACGACATCGACATGACCAAGTGCATCTATTGTGGCTTCTGCCAGGAGGCCTGCCCGGTGGATGCCATTGTTGAGGTGAGCGCACCCTGGGCTGGGGGAGGGCGGGGCAGAGGCTCCCAGGAGGTGTCTGACATGGTCTTGCCTGCATCCCCCACCCGCAGGGCCCCAACTTTGAGTTCTCCACGGAGACACACGAGGAGCTGCTGTACAACAAGGAGAAGCTGCTGAACAACGGGGACAAGTGGGAGGCTGAGATCGCCGCCAACATCCAGGCCGACTACCTGTACCGGTGACGCCCAGCCGGCTCGCGGCCCCGTGGCCCAATAAAGCAGCTCTGACCTTCCCGTGGTTTCTGTTGTGAATCTGCTGTCCGACCCGGATGGCCACGGCCAGACTGTGGCCTGTGCGTTCCTCCAGGTCCCTCAGTGGGCCCAGGGCCAGCCCAGCCTTCCTGTGGGGCCCTGGGACCCGGCAGGCCCTCTTTGGGGCCGGCTGCAGCCCACACATCTTTCTAGACATTTCCCCCAGGGGTCAGGAGGCCGCCTGACAGTTCCAGTCTGGCGGTCCCCTAATCCTGGGTGCTCACAGGCTGGGTCCTGGGCCTGCCCTCTCCCGAGAGCTCCCCACTGAGACCCTAGGGACATAGACCCTCCCAGGCCTCAGGCCGAAGGTAGGTATCTCAGTGGACAGAAACTCAGCGGCCAGGTCATCCTCGTTGAAGTCTGGGGGAATCCCGCTCCGAGGGTGATGGTCACGAGACGGTGACACAGGCCCTGCTGCCTCTGAGCTGGCCTGGCCTGGCCTCAAGCTACATCCCCTTTTCCCCCCAAGTTCCCCAGACCAGGCCGCTGGCTTCTGAAGACTCCTGCTTTGTGATTGCAGCCACATAGTGTGGCTCCTCCTGGGGTCCCACGGGAGCCCAGTGCAGAGCAGTGGCCCAGCCAGCCCCCATGGAGTCCGGGCTGAGCACTGGCAGGGTCTCGGTGTGTTCTCGGCAGCAGGGAGACTGGCCCAGAGAGGTCAGGTGACTTGCTCGCCTGTGAAGACACTAACTCTGGTCTGAGAGCGCCCAGTCCTGTTCTCCAACGTTCCCAAATGTACTTTTTATAAAACACTCAGGCCCAGTGAGCACGGGAAATTCTCCAGGTGCCGTCTCTGCTCAGGGACATGCGTGTTGGCACGGTCGAGGCTCTGGTGAGGCCTGCAGCAGAGAGACCCAGCCTTTCCCCAGTGTTCCCAGGCAGCCCCGTCCCAGGTCACTGCTAACACCTGGGCCGGGCTGGACCCCACCCCTGGCTAAGGTCTGGGGGCATGTCCAGGGCACAGAAGGGAAGCCCGGAGCCAGGAAGTGTCTGCCAGCCCTTGGGGCGGGGCCCCTACAAAACTAGGAAGTGGTGCGAGGCAGGCGCAGAAACCCCAAATTGCTTCTCACCACTTTTCCCAGACAGCCAGCCTTAGAGAGAATTGGCGTGGGGCCCGGATGAGTAGACGTGGAAACAATTAAATGGGTCAGCCTGTATGCAGCCCCTGATGTGACTTTCCCCTGATAGTCATCTTCTGCGTCGGCACTGTGTCCCCTGCACCAGCGGCGTCGATCTATCTGCCCCTCTTCCCCACACTGGTGCTCATCTGGTTGTGTTGAAGGTCCCCTCAGGAAGCAGCCCTGTGTCATTCCAGAACATGTCCCCCACTTTTCCTGAATGCCGACCTTGGCTATGACTCGGTTTCCAGTCCCTATTCTGGGGTTCCATTTGCTCACCTCCCCCACCCCTCAGAGGCCATGCCAGGCAGTGTGGGGTTCAAGGAGCACCGGAGCTGAGGGGCCCTGGTCCCTCCCATCCCCAGTGGGTATGGTCCTGGCTTGTCTAAAGTGCGGGCAGCTGGATGGCCATGGGCCCCAGTTCAGGGCTGCTGGGACATGATGCACCCCCGGGAGCTAGATCAGAGCGAGGACACTGGGAGTGACAGCCAGTGGAGTGACGGCTATGCGTGGATCATTGCCAGCAGCTTCGGGGTGGAGGTCCAGACAGAAACACCGCGGCTGCCCCTCCGTGCCCTGCTGCCATTGAGGAAAGAGGCAGGAGAGGGGCAGCCACTCACCCAAGGGTGCAGAGCACGAGCCCTGCCAGGCCCTATCCTGGGTGGTCAGAAGAAGGAAGGTGTAAGGACCGGCTGTAATGGGGCCTCACGTAGGAAGGAAGAAGTCCGGAAGGTGGGGAGTGTGCTGGGCTTGGGCCCTACGTGGATTCTGGACTCCAGGTCTGCCTGTGTTGGCGTCTGATCAGCCACAGGCCCACTGAACCCTCCAGGTAGTGGGGGTTCCATTCTCTAGCCCCCAAGCTGGGCCTGGGCTCGGTGCCTCCCCAGCCCGGCTGTGAATACGTGCCCTGTTGGCAATGGTCAGTGGCTCTGCTCTTGTCTAGGGGCCCCCACAGTCCAAGCCCCAAATGCTCTTCCCGCCTTGGGCTGGGAGGGCTGGGAGGGCTGGGAGGGCTGGGAGGGAAGCCCGCGCCACCGTCAAAGCCCAGGCGCTCCGGGCGGGGAGCGGGCGTGGCTTTGTTGGCCCCGCCCATCCCGGTTCCTGGCTGCGGGGAAAGGAGTTGCGTGGGCGCAGACCGCAGGAGCAGTGAGCACAGAGCGCGCAGAGCGAGCAGAGCGCAGCGTGCGGCGCGCGGCTGACCCGGAGGTGAGTGCCCGCTCGGTTGCTGAGGCCCTGCTGGGGCCCAGGGGCGACTGGGAGGAGGCAGAGGAGGATCGATGTTAACAGCTGCTAACAACTGCTGAGCCCAACTCTGCCAGGCCTGGAGGCACTCGGAGCTTTTCTCTGCCACATCTCCCACGGAAGGAGGGACCCATTCTACAGATGAGGCAACTGAGACCCAGCCAATGAGGAAGAAGCAGGGCTGGAGGCAGCTCTAGCAAGCGGGGTCATCCTGACTCCAGGGCCCAGTGTGCTGGAACGGAGGGGGTGACCTCCTCCAGTGCAGCCCATCACCGTGTGTCGGGCTCGGAGGACCAGGAAGAGAGAAGGGGTGCAGAGTGAAGAGTACGCTGGACCTCGAAGGCCACGGGACAGGGACACTTTCATCTGTTCCTTAAACAGGACTGGGGTGGCCCCTGGTTGGAGCAGGGATGAGGGACCTTGACAGGTACGGGCTGTGGGCCAGGGGAGGGGCCTGGCTAGGCCCCTACATACCTGTACTCACCACAGCTTGTCCCACCTAGGGAAGTAGCCAGGCCCGAGGACCCCGTGAGTCAGGGCCACTAGGCTGCACCCCAGGGCACCCCAGACCTGGTTTCCTACAGCTGCTGTTTTGGCCAGCCCAACTCTTTGGGGTGCCCAGGGCGGAGAACAGTCCTCCCCTGAACACGTGTTTGGCACTGGGACTTCCAAACACTCAGCCCAGGCCTGGGTCCATCCTGACTCAGCCACCTCCTGACCACCTGACCGTGGACCTCACCCCTCCAAGCCTCACTGGGCCACACATCCAACAGGATGCAGTGCCCTGTCCCTGCAACAGCCCTGCCAAGTTTAAACGAGGTGGCATAGGGCAGGGATTACCTGGGGGCCGTGGTCACTTTTGTCGTCACCCCATCCAGATCCTGCCTCTTCCGGGGGGTAGCCGAGTCCCTTTTACTCAAAGAGGAAATGGAAGCTCAGAGAAGGCAAGAGATTTCCCCAGGGTCACACAGCCAGTCCCAGCCCAGATAGGTCTCCTCGTGCTGATCCCTGACTCTGCAAGAGTGGAATGCAGCCCCTCCCACACACCCTTCCCAGCCCGGCCCGGGCCTGGAGCTTCCACAGCCGCAGGCTGCCTCCAGCGCATCCTCTCCTGTCCCCAGCTGGGGACAGGGCTGCGTTCCCTATTTAGACTTAAGTAAACCAGGCCCTGGGGGAGGGGTGGGGGGAGGAAGTAACCAGCTGGCCAAGCCCCAGCCGACCCAGGCCGCAGGCCAGGCACTGTGGCGCCAGATCTTCACCCTGGGTTGGGGGGGGGCGGCCCTAACCCGTGCCTGTCTCCTCCTCCTTCCCCCAGTTTGAGCTAAGGAAACTGAGTCTCAGGGAGGGAGAGTGGCTGGCCCTGGGTTCAAGAGCAGAGGCCACAGAGCCCTGGCTTGTGCAGGGCCCGCTGGAGGCCACCATGCCCCCACCGTCTCCCTGTTGGCATTTGAGCAGGGCCCTTCCGGCCCATTTCAGTGTCTGCAGTTTCACTTTCAGTGGTTTCGACACCTGAAGGCTGCTCTGACTTGCACCCACAGCAGCTGCCACCGGGCAGGCCAGGCCACGGGGTAAGGTCCCCGTTCTTCAGTCCTGTCGCCCTCAGCGAGCCCCTGAGACGCCCACCCCCTGGGCACACACAGACACCACAGGGAGAGGAGCTCCCGCTGCCTGTGGGGACAGGCCTGACCTCAGCCCGGTGTCAGTTGTCACAGATGCTCCCTGGGGTAGAAAGACGAGGGCTAGTCACCCGCTAGGACTGCGGCAGCCCAGAGGCTGCTGTTGGAGGCTACCCTTGGCCCGGGGCCCGACCTTTCAGGGTGAGGGCAGATCACAGAGGGGACACAGTGGGGGCAGAGGCGAGGTGTGAACAGAGCAGGAGTCACCAGGAGCCATGGGGGGCAGAAGAGCCAGCTGAGCAAGAGTTTGAAGTTGGGCTTTGGGTCAGGATATGGGGTCAGCCAGGTCAGGCTCCCTACTTCCCTGTGACCTCAGCCCCCCATCAAGCCTTCCTGGGCCTCAGTTTCCCCATCTATCAGATGGGGGTGGTTGCCCGAGCTTCTAGGCTTATGTGAGCTGAGGTGTATGGAATTCCTACCTGTGGCCTGTGCCCGACTGAGTCCGCACCTCCTGGCCGTCCCGCAGGACCATGGGCTCCATGTTCCGGAGTGAGGAGGTGTCTCTGGTCCAGCTCTTCCTGCCCACGGCGGCCGCCTACACCTGCGTGAGCCAGCTGGGCGAGCTGGGCCTCGTGGAGTTCAGAGACGTGAGTGGGGCGGGGAAGGCGCGGGAGGGCACCTCGTCCTCGGCGTCCCAGCCGGCGGACCCTGTCCTCCTGCAGCGGCCCCCAGCGCTTCCTGACTGCCTCGGCCTCTGCCAACTCCGCCCTTAAGAAGGCAGCTTTCTTCCCCCAAAGCCACCCCGCCCAGCCTGGGTTCAGCCAGGCCCTGCCCTGGTCTCCTTGGGGTCTGGTCTGTCTCCAGCTGGGCGCCTGAAGGTTCACAGTGTGCATAGCACCGTTCTGGGGGGAGGCAACGACAGCCCGAGGAGGGTCAGTCCTGGGCCTGGGGGCAGGGACCTCCCTGGCCCCCACCCCAGGAAACAAGCCCCTCCACACCACCACCA